ACTGGAGGAGAAACAGAGAAAGTGTAGGGAGCAGTCTGGGCAGAGGCATGGCCATGAAGCTGCTCTCCATACACTAGAGGGTAGAGATGCCCACACTCCTGCCGGCATCTGTCTGCACTGGGGCTCCACTCACTGTCCACCGTGTGAGGCTCCCTTGCACTACTGATCCTTCAGCACAAGGCCAAATGCTTTTAGACATTTCTCTAGCATGTTGTTTAGCATGATCCCTGGTCTCTACCCACTTGATGCCAATAGGACACCACTCACCATCCAGAGACAACACAAACATCTCTAGACACTGACGGTGTCCACAGGAGTGAGTGAGAATAGGGAGTAAGCCAGCCCCAGAAGACAATCACTGCTAAGCAGTGGGAATACTTTATATGAGGTCCTCCACACACCCCTTGTAACACCCCTAAGGACCAGAGGTTCACAACCGTGGATGCCTACCGTTAGCAAGAAAATGTGGGCATGCAGTGGAGGGAAAATTACTAACAGAATGGAGAAGACAAGGGTACAGATATCTAATGAATCATGTGAGCTATCAGGTATGTTTGGGGATGAAATATTTAACCACACCTTTTTTGAGAATGTCACATTGTGTGAAGTTCATGGTTTTGGTGAATGAGCCAAGGAGAACGAGCCAAAGAAAATACCTGATCCTGGCTCTGCTGGCAAATCCGGCTCCTTCTCCCAAGTCGTTAGACGAATCCGGGTTACATTGGATCAAGGTAATGGTTACTTCTTGGAAACAGGGAGACTGAGGTGGCCCAGTCCCTGATGGCAGGGGCTCCAACTTCCTCCTCTCCTCACCTGTGTCCTCCCTTTTGTGACTCCAAAGTCTTTATCCAAGAACAGAAAGAAGACAACGTCAGGTTGATGTACAATCTTAGTGCTGGTTTTATACCCTGCCGTTGCTAATGAGTCTAATTTAAATGAGCTTCTCTGTCTGAATAGACCTAATAATAAAACCTGTAATAATCAGAATTCTTTTGAAAATTAAAAATCTGTCCTGAAATGCTGCTACACAACAATTAATGAAGCAGCTACATGTGGACTATTGTCACACAAAGAGCAGAGGTGCACAGGCCATGCCCTCAAGGAGCGTGAACAGGGAGGAAAGGGCCATGGGATCAGGTCCTGGGATGTCAGGGGACAGCTGCACTTTGAGAGCCATGAGATCCTGGGAAGAGAGTTTCCCAGAGATTCAGGGGCCAGGAAAGGGAACAAGAAGTCAGTTGTCTTTGATGTGCCATTGGGATTCAATAAGGAGTTTCAATTCAGTGGAACTGAGGCAAGGAATTGAGGAGGGGAGTTCACAGGGAGCAAAGGCCTCAAGCTGAAACTGTGGGGCCTGCACAGAAATTAACCTGGAGATCACCTTGGGCAGTTGTGGGATCGAGGTCGCAAGGGTCCGTCTGAGCCAGAAAGTGAAGGTCCCTAAGGCTCAAACTCAGGAGATCAATAGTGTTGAGATCTGTCTCTCAAGCCAGAACACCCGGCTTCTTATCCAAACTCTGCCACTCACTAGCTGTGTGCTTTTGGTCAAGTTACTTGACCTCTCTTGTCTTGCTCTCTGCCACTGGGAAGAAATAATGTGCCCACCTCATGGAGGGAGACAACACGTCTCACTTTGCTCAGAAGACTCCTGGTTTATGTTGCTGTCCCGACATTCCACCCACTTAGTGACTTGTTTCACCCTCCAAAGTACCCAAGTTTGGCCAATAAATTTTATCATCACCCCACTCATTGGATGGTTCTTGTGACGATTAAAAAAAGGTTTTCACCAGTGCCTTATGTCAAGAAAGTGTTGTGTAATTATTTGCCATTTATGTTTTATTCAATTTTGAAAACAACTAACCATGGATTGGTGTTGGTTATTGAGAAAATTAATACACCAACAGTATGTAGAATATGTTTGAGAAAGAATCCAGTGCTTTATTTTCAAGCTTAGGACTTTAACCCCAGATCCGAACACAATTATCTCCTGGTCTTTTAGAGAATGGAAAGTGGAAGCAGAGTCTTCACTGGTCTGTGAAGGTCCTAGTCAGCCCTCAAGGTTTATCATATTACCTTTCTCATTTATATAAAATTGATCTCTTGAAATTGATGTGGAAATAGCACCTACTCTGTACCCAGCCCTGATCAGGACTTACATGTTTTAACTTGTTTAGGCCTCACAGCAATCCTCAAACTTTTCCCATTTTATAAAAGACACAGCTGTGAAATCTCCACACCAGGCAGGGCCCAAGGCAAGAGAGATGCCTGGTCTGGGAATGGCCTGGATACCACGAACAATGGACATCTCACTGACAACCAAGATGTCCTCAAACCAGTCTTTCCTGAAGTTTCTATCCTGGGAAAGTACTTCTCCATCCATGGTCTAGACTTTGGCAGGATCTCAAGGAAGAAGAGGTTCACCTCCAAAGAACATGCCTGAGGTTAATGTTCCAACAGCCTGGAGGTGAAGAACAGGTTTACAGAATGAGCAAAAAGAAAGAAATGAAGCATCTCTTACCCCACATACTGTGGGCCTGATTCAGATGAGTAACTTACAACTAAAAGATCTGAAAGATCATCTCAATTTCAAAATAACTCTTTTGCAGGCTTTTGTACCAATGCATGAGTCACTGAGAAAAATGGCTCTCACTGAATGTTATTACTTATCTTAAGTATGGCAAGGCCTCAAATGACTAAAATGTTAGTGTGAGTATATCTCAGGTCTTGTGTGAACCTGAGGACAGGCCAAATATAATTCCCTCTTACCGTATACTTTACCCCAAGATACAGGTATCCATGGTTAAATCTGTGAATGGTTCATAGCAACACCATCGTTTGTCTTAGTAGGTAATCAATAAATGTCACACAAACAGCAAAACTGAAGGCTACTTCACTCCTCTAGCTTCTGACCTTAATGTAAGGACCTGAGTCAAAGTTGTTTTTGAGAAGTGAGAAACTCAAGGCACCAACACAAGCATTCTGACCTTCTGGTTTCTTCAATTTCTCCTGTAAATGCTGAGTTATTATTTGATTCACCCGAGAAAGATCATCTTCAGTTGTACGGAGAAAAGATGGAGGTAAAGAAAACACACATCTGTATCCTGGGCACCTTGTACATGATGTGAGATCTCTTTTTTTTCGCTGAGTAAGAAACCTCTTAAGGGTTCAGTGTCCCAGCAGGTGACATGGCAGGTCCATAACAACTAGGGCATCAGACAGAGTCCCCATTAAGCCCTGGAGAAGGAACCATTATCACATTTCATTACTCAAGTCCTTCACTTGCCTTTCGAATGAAGATCACCAGCAATGGTCAACTGGTCATGAGGACATAAACTAGTCTGTTTCTAGCCTCTTCCTAAATCAGTATTGTTCTTGGCAACTTACACTCTCGCTGAATGATGGAAAGATATGAGTTTCAAATAATCCAGTCAGCAAATAATGCATTCAGAGGTAATTACCTACTGACTCATCTCTCTGGCTCCCTCATCCATTTCTGTTTTTTTTTTTTTTTTAAACCTAAGCCACTTTGTTTCCCTAGTTACCATAACTTTCATATTACCCCTGCTTTTCTATCCCGTGTGGCTTTTCTATCCCATGAGGCTGTCCTGTCCTTCTCTTGACACCAAGAGGAACACATTCATACCTTGCCAAGTGCCATCTGTTCTCACACCTCTGTACTTGCTGTTCCCTCTGCCTAGAACTCTCTTCCCCAGATCTTCCCTTGGACATCGCTGTCCGCTCATCCAAGCTTAAAAGTCCCTCTTCCTATAGCTTTGCCTGGACCTCTGTGCAGGACTCTGCCCCTGGGGGTCGTGTTGATCTTTACACAGTCTCTGTGTAATATCATTCATTCTGCTGTAGGCTTGTTTGTTGTCTCCCTGGTGAGAAGTGAGCTCCACAGAGCAAGGTCCTCCTCTAACGTCTTCCTACAACTGAATCTACGGTACGTAGCACAGGACCCTGTCATAGGAGAAGCTCATGGTTATTGTTGAACAATGAGTAGTGGCTGGCTGGCTGGCTGGATGGTTAGATGGATGAAATCTCTAGTTTGTTCCCGATTACCTTGTTTTAAGCTCTGTGATAGTTTCCCTAATAGAGTGCCCCTCATTCTTACAAAACTAGGCACAGTATCACTTATGCCCATTTTAGAAATAAGGAAAAGGAAGCTCAGAATGACCAGCACTTTAACTTTCCCAAGGAACTTCGTGATTAGGTGTTGCATCTAAGACTGAAACGCACACCTGCATGAGCCCCGATCTCACCCCACCATTCAGCACCGCATCTTTCAAGCAATGAGTTATTCTACTTCTTCACATGATCCTTTGAATCAGTGGAAGAAAAACCCTAAACAGCTCACAAAAACTAAAAGAAAATTAATTCGTAGATTTACAATAGAGTGAGTTGATGAAATTGAGTTAACTGAGATATTCTTTGTAAAAACAAACTTCAGAGAGGTGAGATGTTACTATTTCCCAAACTTCAAGCCCCTGAGTGAAAACGTGTCTATCGGCAAGTGAAGTCTGCTTCCTGGAGGAGGTATGTGGTATTGCATCGAGCCCAGATGTTTGGTAAACCAGCCGGAACAGATACACAGAATATGAAGGTTTTTGTACCTTGAAGAAGGAGAAAGAGAAGAGAAAGAAGAAGAGGAAGATGAGGAGGAGATAATGATGACCACAATAATAATAAAGAATGCCAGGATGACAACACAGGCTCACAATCATGTAATTTATTTTATTATTTAGAAAGCCCACTTAAGTTAGTTTCATCTCAGTCATGTGTCATTACTACAGTTGCAAAATTGTTTGTGGTTCAAAATTGTTTGGGTCCAAAAGGCTCTATCTCCTTTCTTTCTGAAAACAGAACACAGGCTGGCTGGGTTCTGGCTGATTCTCCCTGTTGTTTCCTGGTCCAGAGCCAAGTTTATCGTGTGACTCATTCCCTCATTTAGGGGAGGAGTTAAGTTGGGGACCAGGAGAATAAAAGAAGGAGTTCTTATGCTCCCTTCCAGAGTGACTCCCTTCATCCCTGCCACATCAGAGACCTTCCAACAACAGCTGCCTCCACCATGAAGCTGGTGACGGTTCTCATGCTGGCGGCCTTCCCGCTTTACTGCTGTGCAGGTGAGGACTGACAGGGAGGGCAGGCCTTGGGCTAAAGGTTGTTGCCAGGGCCCCTGTGGAAGAATTCCTGGTCCCCAAACCCCTGTAAAGAGCATCTCATTTCTCCAATGTCCTCGCTTCTCATGGTTGCACAGTGTTTGGCTTCTCTGGGCTGTGAAGGCAGGAAGTGGGGAGGGCAGATGTTTTAGGGCTTAAAGGAAGCCCCAGATCCTGAGTTTACTCTCCTAGAACTGAGAACTCAACACTATTTGCCATAATCTTTCTGAATGTGTGTCTCTGTTGGGATTTAAGAATATGACTATTGCAGGTACACCCAAAATGGGTCCACACCTCCACACTTGAGCCCAAATTTGCATGCTTTTGTCCCAGGTTCTGGCTGCAGTGTTTACAAGGATTTGGTTGATCAGACAACTGATCCTACACAGTCCCCGGCTGAGTATGTAGCAGCTTTTCAAGAGTTCATAACAGATAACGCCACTGCAAAGGCCGCAATGGAATTGAAGCAATGTTATCTCAACCAGTCAAATGAAACTTTGGCCAATTTTGATCAGATGATGGTAATTTCAGTTTTTTCTCATGTGCTTTTAAACTGCTAGACAGGGAAATGCCGACTCTAAGTTTGTCACCAATTATGCCAAAGCAGCAATGAACATGCCTTGTTTTATTTCAGTGAATTTAATTCTTGGTGAGTGTGCATACTGTGACATCAAGACAGCCATCAGGGCCTTAGTGCTGATTCTCCTCTTCACTTTGTGGAATGTTTAGCCAATGATGAAAGACAAAAGAAGGAAACAATGCTCAGGCAAAGGCTTACCTACTCCTCAGCTTTCTAGTCCACACACACACATGCACACACGTTTTCTATCAAGGTAAAAACATCTGATTCTTAAGAATTCCCTCACTTATGTGAGTGATCCACAAAAAGATCCACTTCTTCATAGAAGCAAATGATAACATGATCTTAAGAATTTTTTGACAGAGTCCAGAAAATTCCATTTGAGGAAGTTTCCACTCATCTTATTTAAAGAATGGAAAATACAACTTCAACTGAATCAAAATTTGTTAGTGTAAGTGATTGGATCCCTCAACCACGAATTAAATACCCCTTGCACAACAACAGCAGATCACGGGTATGAATCCACCATGGGTGATAGAATTGTTGAAAACAACAATCAGTGTATAACAATGAGTAAATCTTTCTAATTATAAGGAGATATTGTTTAGCTTTTTCCTAGCATTTATTCTTTATCTTAGTAGATTATTTAAAACATTCCAGAGTAGACAATGTAGGAATAGTGCCAAAAGAATACAGATAAACGTGTACATCACTAAGGAGATTCTGACACAGTGTACATCATGGATGAACTTGAGGATGTTGTGATAAATGGCATAAGCCAGTGACAAAAAGACAAATATTGCATGACTCCACTTGTATCAGGTTTCTAGAGCAGCCAATCTCATAGAAACAGAAGGTAGAATAGTGGTTTCCTGGGGTTGGGTGGTGAGGAAAATGGGAGTTGTTTAACAGGTACAAAGTTTCACTTTACCAAGTTGAAAGTGTTCTGGAGACTGGCTGGAATGCAAAGTGAGTACACGTAACACTATTAAAGTGTGTATTGAAAATGGTGAAAATGGTCAACTTTATGTTATGTCTATCTACCATAATTAATTTTTTTAAAAATGAACAACCCCTGCAATAAAGGGATATGGTAGATTTTTCTTTAAAAACCTGGACTAGACTAATCACTCAGAATGCGCATTTCCAATATTCTGTAGACCACAAAGGTAATGGTGGAGGCATCAGACTGTTCTCTATATTTCTGACACATCAGGCAACACCGGAACTCAAAATTTTTACATGTCCTTGGATTTGAGCTGAGATTCAACAATTCTATGTCGGAAACTGACAATACACACAGTATATATATTGGATAAGTTATTTCCAAGAACGAGAAACACGGAAAAATTATTAAATGGGGTTCCTGGTGAGGAACAGATATGGAAACCCCAGCACCATTTTAGGATCAATAACTGTCCCCTGAACAAGAGAATGAACAGCAAGGCAATTCTGATTTTACTACCAGCACTAACTTTCTTGGATGTCCAATGTCTGTGGACAAACCCAGGAAAACAATGAGAAGCGTTTGTTTTTCAAGATTTTACTTCGTAAGAGAGAATTGAAAGTCTAAGCGATGTCTCTGTTTCTGTTTTCCAGCAAGCAATATTTGAAAGTGTTTGGTGTGCTGCGTTTTAACTTTCCACAAGAACTGGCTCAGAGAACTACATAGAATGGTCAGAAACCCACTGCCGATTGCTAAAAACCACAGCTTTTCTTTCCTTTATGTCTTTGCTCTGCAAATTGCAGGACAGTTGTTGAAACCTCATTTACATTTCCATTTCAATAAAGTATCTGCAGCCCTAAAGTTCTTTTTTGTTATTTGATTAAAGTTGAGAGTTTAGAAAGCCTCAGCGATCACACAGGTGTCTGCTCGTGTGCACATGCACACACTCACACGCATAATTCTTCATTAAGATCTCATGGATGAAGGATTGAAGAATCTGAGAAGCCTTTGTTCCTTCCAATGTGTAGCCCAACCTTGACCTTCTCTCTGGAAAAGTGACTTTCCTCCCTAATCACCCCGTCTCCCCCAGCACTGTCTCTGACACCCTCAGACACAGAGGTTCTGCTGGTTGGGTCCTGCTCAGTTTCCTGATCCACTGCAGGCTTCATCTCCATGCTGAGCCCTGTGCTCCATGGTGAGGCTCTTCTCTCAGCTCTCTCTGTCCCTGACCCAAGTGTGCAAGACCAGTAATAGAGCCAGCCAGGAAGGTGACTCATGCAAAACAGGGGTGGATCCTGTCTTGATTTTACAATTGATATATGGCATTAATGTTGATTTTTAAAAATATTTTATTAAAATATTATTTACCCTAATTACTGAAAATTTTGTTACCCCTTAAATTGTGTGACACCCCCTAGTCCTGTCCCTGCAAGTGGCAATGTGGTCCATTCGTCATTCCCACAATGCCCTGCAAAGCAGTGAAGGTTGAGGGAAATGTGTGTGTTCTGTAGGAACAAAGCAACGCAAGCCAGTTTTCATTGAACCTGAGCTCTCCTTTCTTTATCAGTGCCCACACTCCTGTCACTGGGGATAAGTTAGTGCCACCCTTTCTGATCACATCTCAGCAGGTCCGTCTTCCTTCCTGGGCTGTCCTCTCACCCAAGAAGACCCTTGACCCTTTCTCAGGACAATTCAGCTCACACCAGGGCTGGCTCTTCCACCAGGATAACACATGCAGGGCATTAGGTACACAATGTATTTATGGTTCCACATAAATGTTACAATTTCTTTAAAAATATTCACCTAAAGTGACTATAGTAGGGGCCAGCCTGGTGGCACAGCAGTTAAGTTCACCTGCTCTGCTTCAGCTGCCCAGGATTCGCTGGTTCAGATCCTGGGCATGGACCTTTGCGCCACTCATCAAGCCACACTGTGTGACAGGTGTCACACACACACACACACACAAATAGAGGAAGATGGGCACAGATCTTAGCCCAGGGCCAATTCTCCTCAGAAAAACAGAGGAGTACTGGTGGTGGATGTTAGCTCAGGGATAATCTCTCCCCCAGAAAAGCGACCATGGTGATAATGAACGAGTGTGGATATATTCATCTTTATACCAATGTAGTGGTAAGATGTAATATTTAATGTTTCTGTGGAGAAGTGTCTAAAAGTACCTAAGATTCACAAAAGTTACAATGAGGCCCTCCCCTCCTCCCTCTGCAAAATACCTCAGGGCCCTTGACACCATAAGACCCAGGAAAAAGGCTCCTTTCCTTGGACCTACACTTTAGAGGTTCTCCCCTATTACACAAACAGACACAGACATACACACAAACACAGCATTATTTATTAAGAATTCATGATGGGCTGGCCCAGTGGCCAAGTGGTTAAGTGTTGTCATCACGAATCTGTGAAGGAAATGGAAATCCAGATCCACGAAGCTCGAAAAAGCCTACTAGGATGAACTGAAGAAATGTACACTGAGACACTGTGATCAAATTTTCAAAGTAAAAATAAAGAGAATTTTGAAACTAGGAGTTGAAAAGAAACTCATCACATACAAGGAAGTCCCATAAGACTGACAGTGAATGTTACAGTAGAAACCTTGTTGACCAGGAGAATGAGGTATGATATTCAAAGTGCTGAGAGAAAATACAGCCAACCTAGGATACCATGCCCATCAAAACTATCCCTAGAAAAATGAAGGGAAGGATTCAACAATTCTACTTTTTTAGAAAATAGCGTAAGAAAATTAGTAACAACATGGATGACCAATCTTATTGCTGTGAACATGTAATTTCAACAGCCAAAGGATGAAAGAGTAAATACATCTTAATGATCATACGGCTGAGGATATAAAACTACACGAGATGAACTGGCAATGTAAAAACAAAAACTTAATACCAATATGTACTGGAGGACGACTCTTTTCAAGCCCTATCTTCGAATTATTTGGTTCTTCTACATTGTTCCTAGAATAAAATTTAAAATCTTTACAAGACATGAAGGATAGATAAAGACTCTCCAGGGCAAACAAAAGCTGAGGGATTTTATCACCACTCAATCTACCTTACAAATAATGCAAAACAGAATTTTTCATGGAAACAAAAAGATGCTAAATAGCATCATAAAAGCATGTGAAAGTATAAAAGCCGTGGGTAAAGGTAAATTTATACACAAATACAGAATATTGTAACATGGTAATGGTTGTGTTTAAATTGCCTTTCATTCTAGTGTAAAATTTAGAAGACAAAGGTATTAAAAATAAGTATAAGTACGAAAGTATGTTAAGGGATACACAATATAAAAAGAGGTTAAGTGTAATGTCTATAATATAAAGTGTGAGGAGGTAGGAGGAAAAGTGAAGAGTTTAGGTATGCAACTGAAGTTCAGTACTATTGAGGTTTAATAGACTGTTATAACTATAATATACTTTTCGTAAGCCTCATGGTAACCACAAAGAAAATACCTACAACAAATTCAAAAAAGAAAAAGAAAAAGGCATCAGAGCGGGTTACTAAAAGAAATCCACGAATCACAACAAAAAATCACAAGAGAGGTAAAGGTAGACAAGACAGTGAAAATCAGAGAGAAAACAATGAACATAATAGGAATAGTAAGCTCTTCAATATCAGTAGTTTCTTTTGACTCTTAATGGGTTAAACTGTCCAATCAAAAGACCTAGGGTGGGGAGCTGGCCCCGTGGCCGAGTGGTTAAGTTCGCACACTCTGCTGCAGGTGGCCCAGCGTTTCGTTGGTTCGAATCCTGGGCACAGACATGGCACTGCTCATCAAGCCACGCTGAGGCGGCGTCCCGCATGCCACAACTAGAAGGACCCACAATGAAGAGTGTACAACTATGTGCTGGGGGGCTTTGGGGAGAAAAAGGAAAAAAATTAAAAAAAAATCTAAAAAAAAAAAGACGTAGTGTGGCTGAATGGACAAAAGAAAGATCTAACCAAAGGCAGTCTACGAGAGACTCATTTTATATTTAAGGACACACATAGGCTGAAAGTGAATGGATGGGAAAAGATATTCCATGCCAGTAGTAAACAGAAGAAAGCAGGATTGGCAATACTTCTTTCAGATAAAATAGACTTTAAGTCAACAACTGTCATAAGAAACAAAGAAGGTCATTATTTACTGATAAAACGGTCAATTCATCAGGAAGTTATAAAAATTATAAATACTTTATGCACCCAACATCAGGGCATCTACGTACATCATGAAAAAATAGACAGAAGTGAAGGGAGAAATAGACAGCCATATAAAAAGAGTAGGAGACTTTAATACTTTACTCTCAATTATAGATAGAACCTCCAGGCAGAAAATCAATAGAAAATCTGTGGACTTGAACAACAGACAGGTCAAATGGACCTACTAGACATTAAGGAATATTCCACCCAAAAGCAATAGAATATGTCTTCTTCTCAAGTACACAGGGAACATTTTCCAGGAGTGATCATATGTTAGGTCAAAAAACAAGTCTTAACAATTTAAGACAAGCAAAATCATGCCGAGTGTCTTTTCCCACCATAGTGGAATAAAACTAGAAATCAATAACCGAGGTTTGAAATAATAGGACATATGCATTGGTTTCTGCCCATGGATCCTGACACAGAGATCCTAAGACCTTCACAATTTCCTTACTGTTGAGAGCACTAGGAGTTTAAGTAGCTTGAAGGTTTTGATCGCTTTCACACTTCAATCTAAGGCCTCAGAGTCCATGGGAGATGCTCCAAGGCTGTGCCAGGAGACTTTGAATGGACTAAAGAAACCACCCCAAATCTTCACCACATTTGAACCTCAGCCAAGCATGGATTGAACATTCATCCTCATTCCCAGTGGGTTTGCCTGGCTGAGAGGGAGATCATTATAAAAAAGCCCCTTTGACCCCTCCCTCCCAAACAAATGGCCTAGTGTTGGTTTAAATCTCTGCCGTGTCACTAAAGTGGATGTAACTTTAACATGTTCCTCTGTTTTTGCTTCTTTAAATCATCTCCACTCTGCACGTGTTGAGAGGAAGACCTTGGTATTTTCACCTCTTTCCTTGTTGCCTGAGCAAGCACAGATTTTGTGCTCAATCAGTAGTGAATGAATAGAATCAATTTTTAGACTCAATTATGCTGGGAGAAATTGGACCGTTGCATTCTCTAACTGAGGATGATTCATCTCACTCCCTTACTACTCGTTGTTCCTAGAGGTTCAATAAAGCTGGGACTTTGATCCCTGCTCCTCCTTTCCAGGGGAAACAAAAGGGGAAAGGAATAAGAAGTCCCCAAAGACAGTCTGAGGCAACTTCCAGAGAGGATTTCTACATGTGGGTTCAAGAAACCATTGGGGTGGACAGTACTGGTCCAGAGCACCTGCAATGAGCTGCTGCCAACCTAAGTTCACCTGGCTGCAGTTTCACTCCCTTCCTCAGAAGTCCATGTGGCTCAGTTCCCAGCATGCACTGAGGTCAGATCTTCCTCTGTTTTGACCCTTTGCAAAGCTGCTGAAGGTTGACTGTTGCTCCAGCATAGATGCTTTCTTTTTCTTCAAGTCATACCCTCCAAGCTGCCTCCCTGAATGCCCCCTAGTTAGGTGATCATTTTCCGCGCTCCCATAATTCATTAAGCACAGCTATTAGTGGGCTTCTGTGGTTACTATAGACACTGCTTCTTCAACCACCACTGAGGTGACATCAAAAGCTGAGAAAATATGACTCTTCCCACCTTCCAATCTCCCATCAGTTGGGAGAACCCAACTTCCACTGGAGACTCTAACAAGAGGGCAGCTGGCAAGAGAGTCTCGGAAGTGTAACCTGCAGGCCTTCAGTTTTAGCAATAAAGAGATGAATCATAGAAAGTAAAGCTGCA